TTATATCTTACTTTTGTTTTCTTTAATTGATTCTTATATACTATATGTAAACATGTTATTAAATAATAATTAAACTAAAATTTTCCACTTTTTCTTATTTTTGTATTTTCTCTATTTTTTATTAGATGTGATATCTTCTTGTAATTGAAGAAATTAATTTGCACAATTTTGCAACAATTTTATTTGCTATCATATGTTAAGATACTACAAATTCATATAATTTTCCCTATTCTTTAATTTGGAGTAAGAATTATAAGAATTTCTGCAAATTCAAAACTCTAGTCATGTATTTATAAAAGCCCAATCAGATTTGACATGATCCGGTCCAATATTTAATTAAATTCGGTCCGTAAATTAATTAATCCAATTAATTAATTCGAGCCTATAAATAAGCAGTCCAATTAATTAATTTATTTAACGCTTGTTAAATTAATTAATTGACAAATTAAAATCTTCCAATTCTCTTTTGTATGCGACCCATCAGGTTTCCGATCACGATGTCTAACGACGTAAAATATTATTTTGATTCAATCAAAATTGATAAATTAAATCACCCTTTTAAATTTATCACAAATTTATACTTGCCGTCCCAAATTGACATTTAACAATGTGTCAGGACAATATATGTGACGAAAAATGTCACGTGGTATGAAAAATCCAAATTTGTTCGTTTATCATAAAATTATAATCTTTTCGTAAATGTAATCCAATCAATTACGAGATATGAAAGTGTGTCAATCTCAATCATCTATCATATCTTTCATTCCACTATATAGTTTATATAAGTCGAAAAACTCATTTTCGACTTCTAGGTATACATTGGCCAAAGATTTAGTTATTGACTTAATTGAGTGAAATGCAGATCATAATTTCTTACTATCTAAGAGTAACGAATCATGTATTGGTCGTTCACAACCTTAATATGATTCTTGACATACCCAAATGATGCCGTATTAGCAGCATTTGGTAGAGCAACATTCAATATCGTCAAAGCACACATGTCCTCATACAAGGCACTATGAGACTTTAAGTCAAAGGACCAATTCTAGTACCGAACGTTAGAAATTAACCGTCGATACTCAGATAGTTATTTATGTGGAATCTCTTAACATGTCTCCAATATTTTGTTCTATTACAAAACATCTACGCGTTCATTTAAGTGTCACCACACTTTAACTTGTGAGATCAGCTATTTACTTCACAAATAAGAAATGTCATTTGTGATAGTCTCTCCATATCTCGTTATAATTTACGACTATGAATTATTTAAGATCCAATCATATGTAATTTGCATATCACAATCATAACTCCTTGTAATTAACAAATTACTAAAACTTGAATATTTAACATTATTCATCAGAATATTAATTTAAAAAATAATAGATCTTGTAAAAAAATAAATGCATTAAACATATTAAAAGTATCTCCAGCCTAAATCGATTGGATATAAGACATAATACTTACATTGCCTTCTTTAACTAAATTGTCTTTTTTGTCTTCTTTTCTAAACCAATCACGTTTCAAAAAGATTATGTTTTTTTGTTTATTTTCAATCCAATTCATTTTTTTTTCTGTTCATTTTTAAGAATCGATCGGCTTCGCGATCGGAAATATTGGCAAGCATGGGGAAGAATAATTTGTCAACCAAAAGGATCCACCTAGGAGATAAAGGATGTTTTAAATATCAAAATCGAAATATGAAGGAATCCACCTAATGGATAAGAGTGAAACAAGACGACAATCCTTCCTCACAATAAGTTGCAATACTAATATTAATTTTGGTTTCACTTCAAATTTCGATCATTGTGTTTAGGTGTGATTTAAAAATTGAAATTTGATCCTTTCCTCTAGCAACTGTATATAAAAAAAAATTGAAACTTGGAACAACACTCCAAGCATAGGCATTTTCTTAGAAATTTCTTCTACTAATTCCAAGATGAAATTTAACGAAAGGAACATTAATATTAAGATAAAAATTCATTAGGAATTCAATTAAACAAGGAAAGAGCTAACTTTCTAGAATTCTCGAGTAGATTCAATATGATCATTAGGTTTGAATATAGTTCGGTTCGATTCTAAAAAGAACTAAATCGGACCCGAAATTTCGAGTATTTAGTAAGTGGAACCGTCAAGTCGAAATTTAATTATGGAATTGTTCTGGGTCGGTTCATTTATTTCGGTTCAGCTTCTGGGTTACTACAATAATTTTTTTTTTTAATATTTACAAAATTACATTAATTCAATCAATGATATGTTGAATCTCAGCTCTTTCAAAATAAAGTAATCCAATCTTATGTATATTTTGCGTCTCTATTTATTTAGTTCTTCATAGAATTGATTATTAAAATCACAAGAAGAGGAATATAGCGAGCTTTTAATAATTAAGAGAAGCACGGTCAAACTTCAATTCGATTTCTTGAGAACGATAGAAATGAAACTATGATTAGGGTTAGACAAAACACTCGAACCAAACCCGACGGTTCGTTTCAAGTTAAATACTCGAATGAGTATTTGAATCGAGAACCGACGGGTATGGTTCGGTTCTCGGTTCTAGACCAAGATCCGAAAAATCGAATCTTCCTAATTTTTTAATTAATTTATTTTAAATAAGCAAAATTATTTTATTTTTTCTAAATAAATTTGTTAATTAGTTAATTTAGTTCAAACAAAAAAATATAATTTTCTTATTTCTAATTTTCAGTTCAAAGTCAACTTAATCAAATTGATATCAATTTTATCCAAATATGTTACTCTATTATAGTGTCGTTTCTATTGGAGAAAATCGGATTAAAACTCTACAACGTCTCTCTTAATTATTTTGAGCTCGCTGTCTTTCTTTTTCTGTGATTTTAATAATCAAATTTATGAAGAACTCAACAAAAAGAGACGTAAAAGACACATAAAATTGGACTATGATATTTTGTAAGAGCTAAGATTGAACATATCATTAATTAAATTAATGTAACTTTGTATATATTAAAAATTTTAATTATAATACAGAACCTCGAAATCGAATGGAACCGAACCTGAATGGTTCTATAATTAAATTTGGACCCGACGGTTCCACTTATTAAATATCCGAAAATTTTGAATCGGTTCAGTTCTCGTTAGAACCGAACCGAACCAGGCTGGACAACTATGATAGAATAATATATTTGGATAAAACTCAAGTTAATTTGCCTAAGTTGGACTTGGACTATAAATTAGAAATAAAAAAATCATATTTTTGGGTTTGAGCTAAAGTGATTAGTTAGCAAATTTATTTAGAAAAAATTAAAATAATTTGACTTATTTAAAATAAATAAATTAAAGAAATTAGAGAGATTCGGTTATCCAATTTTTAATTTAGAACAGAGAACCGTCTCGAATTTCTTTCATTCTCAGTTCAGATAGTCATTTGAGTATTTAACTTAAAAAGAATCGCTCCATTCGGTTCACTTCAGGTCATGTCCCATTCGATCGGTTCGATTCAAGAGTTTCGTCCAACCCTAATGAGTATCTTGGAGAATAACATCCTTTACATTGTATAGGCATTTCCATATTGATGAGATCGTAAAATGTGTTTAAAATATTCAATGATGTATTATTTGAAAAAAAAAAAGGATTTTTGCTGTTCTCAAAATTAACACAAAATCATGTGCCTTGAAATATTTAGTACTTTGACGAGAGAATTTTGAGTTCTTTTTACGATTAGACAAAACTCTCAAATCGAATCGAACGGATCCAACCCGACCCAAACTAAAACGAACCAAGCGGTTCTTTTTAAATTAAATATCGGAACAGATATTGAATCAAGAATCGACAAGTTTAGTTCAATTCTTGGTTTTAGATTAAGAACCGAATAATCGAATAAGTTACTGAATCTCCTTAATTTTTTAATTTATTTATCATAAATAAGTGAAATTATTTTATTTTTTCTAAATAAATTTGCTAACTAATTAATTTAACACAAGCCCAAGATATGATTTTCTTATTTCAAATTTTCAACCCAAGTCCAACTTAATTAAGTTGACCTAGATTTTATTTAAATTTATTATTCTACCGTAGTGCCTTTCCTATAGTTCTAGAGAAGTCGAATCGAAAGTTCCGCTGTGCTTCTCTTCATTATTTTATAAGAATTAAGATTAAACATATCATTAGTTGAATTAATGTAGCATTGTTGTAAATATTTAAAAATTTAATTAATGTATAGAACTCAAAAATCGAATGGAACCAAGCCAAACGAAATTGAACCGAATCGAATGGTTTCATAATTAAATTAGGACCCAATAATTTCATTTATTAAGTACCCAAGACTTTGAGTTCGGTTAGAATAATATCGGACCATGTCCAGTCCTAATTCTTTTTTACATTGTTGGTATTTGATGATACTCTTGTGTTAATGATAACAAGTTGTAGCCCTCTGTTAAAAAGATTGTCTTCGGTGCCTTCGTTCTTATATTTATCTCTTGTTTGGTTTGGATAAAATTATAATTTTAGTATATTTTGATAAAAGTTGATTATAAATGTGATTAAAAAATTTGTAAAATTTATGAGTCACATGAAATGTGTGATTGATAATAAGTTTGTAAAAAAATAAGTTTTAAAAAATTGGGATCAAATAGGTGCTAATTGTGTTTTGAATAGATTACATATATGACCATAAAATTATTATTAGTCCCTTTCAATCTTATAAAATGTTTTTAACAAATCGAAAGTAACAACGAAAATCAATTTTAAAATAATATATCTTTTCATCGAACACGTACATCAGATAACGTCTCTTTTAGGGAAGAATCTTCAGTGGAATAGTCATACCACGTGAATTATGTGATCACCCAATTTCGAGGTGACGCACCTTGATAGGGTGTCATATTCACTATTCCCTCCTCTTTGGGGCTTAGACAAAAATAACTGGATCGCGTCATCAAAAGAGTAGTAAGTTGATCCAAAAAAGTACGTCCAACAAGTTTAATTATTCAAAAGGTTTGAAATTGTACTAAAGTTACGTAAGCCATTCATTTCATAACTAGAGACAGTACTACAAGATTCTTTTCATCAACTTCTATACATGTCTCCACAGATTAGCAACTACACACCTCCCACTGAGGCCCGTTGCCAACCTTTATGTTCTGAGAAATGGTAACTCTATCACTCACCACTAAAAAAGAACCATAAAAATTCCATTTATTTTCAGTAGAACGAGAGAGTATCACGGTCTTCATTGACCATTAAAGGCCTAACCCCATTATAGGACTTGAGAGAACTGACCAAGCCCTAAAAAAGTGTTTAGGCCTTTAATGGCCACACTTAAAAGACCATGATATTTTCTCCTTCCCCTTGAAAATAAATGAAATTTCACGTTTATCATATCACAACTAATTTCTGCAGAAAATCTTTACAATAATAACTTTTTCCACAAAATACAGAGATACAATTTTTTTAAATATTAGATGCGAAGAAGAGGAGTACACTACAGACTACAAGGCACAAGCAGGAAGTAACCTGACCGAATATAAAATAAACAAAACCCAACAATGAAAGTGATCAATAGTGCAACACCATTACAGTATATTCAACAACAGCATCTTTAGAGGTAAAATTATGCCAGACAGTTTTAGCGGTGGCAATACCTCGTGCCAGCCGGAAAATACCAGAACCACCCACTATTGGCATTTCACGGTATTCATGGAAAATTGGATTGTGACCAAGTACACTAAGTGTGCTACCGTTATACTCTCCATCTGTGAAAACCAGATTGAACGTCATAAGTAGACCTAACTCTTCCAATGAAGCCATACAATACATCCCCTGGGCTCGACCGATGATCTTCGAATCTGATTCGGGCCCAACTGTCAATGGATCATCAGCTATGCTTACTATACCAAAGAAAGTTGGGGCTTGAGATGTAATTTTGGATTCAGCCACCTTAACAGCTGTTGGATTCTTTCCACTTACAGCGTCATGAAAGTAGAAATGAAGTTTGCTCAGTTTTTCCTTTGCCTGTGGAAGCTTTTTAAACCACTTTTCCACGGCCTTCGGCCCTTTTTTAAGGCCCTCAGTTGCTGGTACAGCGGCGGTGAGAATCACCAGCATGAAAATTATGCACAGCTTTGCCATTTATTTTTTATATTATATGAAGTTAATAAACGTGAGGGCCTTATTTATGGAAGATGTAGCTGGTTAAGTCAGGACAAACTAGCCCCCGTTTGGGACTCATTTTAAACTCATTTTTTGACCAAATCTTATTTTTCTACACTAGTAAGCAGAAAGATTATAAACGAGTCAGTGCAATGGTCAGAATGACTGAATGAGTTAATACTGATAATGCCATTGAGGATCATTGGACTATTTTACCCTCACTTTGTTATAATTGGAAATTTATACAACTACCCTTAATCATTTGAACCATTTTACGTGAAATTTACATCCATAATGTCAAGGGCATAAATGTAAATTGACAACTTTAATATGTGGAACCCTCCATTGAATAGTCAAAATGTCGTAGCTTTGGTCGTTAGACAAAAATCATAATTTCAAACGTGGGGTCCACACAAAATGAAAACGAGATTGAGAAGTTTGGAAAGAATGAGGGCCAAATGCAAATACTATTCGTTATTATAAATTTGTCTTGTATGCTGAGAGTTATTGGCATTGAATGGTGTTTAGAAGCGATAACGTTTTAATAGATATTAAAAGCTGTCTTATGTAAAAATTATTAATTATTGAGCATTAATATTTGTTTGTTTGGAATAGTTTAAAAATTGTTAAAAAGTTAAAGTCAATAATTAATTTTAATCTATATTTTATGAAATCTACAATTTTTATTAACTTTTTGATCATATATTTTATCGATTTTTATTAAAATTTGCTAATTTTTTCTATAAAAAAAACTTTTTCAAACAACCTTGTATATATTTTTCTTCTAAAAAGAAAATAATTCACTTATGGTCCCATCCTATAGGTACATGTCCATTTAGGTCTTCATTTTTATATGTTTCTTGATAAAGGAATTCTCACACTTCAAATTCCGTAGCAAGTTGGTTTATATTGACTTTTTTAATCCAAAAAACATGGTTAAAATATCATGCATCTCGTACGTGACCTAGGATAATCAACAACAACATTTGAAGTTAGATCAATGTTAAAAAGCCACTGGTGCAAAAGAAGAAATTTAGAGAAAAACCGTGAAATGGTGGATAAAAATCAATCCAAATAATATCCATATATTTACATAAGCATGTTTAGAATTGATGTTGGTTGACAAATAACCCATGTTATGCATTTAATCGGGAAGTGGGCGTATGTCAAGGTCGATCAAGGATGCATGTTGATTTACAGCTTGATCGACTTGCATCTTGTGACTCGATGGCTGGTTCTAGTTGGCACGTTGCAATGTGATCGTGCGCGCCACTTAAAGCCTATATATAGGTCTAGTTACCTCCAAATTATTCACTGAATAACTTCACAGCACCCAAAACACTCTCTTCATCATAGAATAGCAAAATACCCTACTGCCACCCGGAAAACTTTGCTCCATCGTGCACCATCACCCAAAAATAATTTGACAAACCACCTTTATATCTACAGCGTTGTCTATGGGTAGCAAGCAAGGCAGAAGAGGACGATCATATAATATAATCCCCTAGCTCTGCCATCGCCTGCAATAATGGAGGTACCATCAACACATGATTTTGTGCCCAGAGAACAATACAATATCCTACATGCTCATGTTGCGACATTAATGACCATGCTGCAAGAGAGCATGGATGCATAGCCAAGGATGGATTCATTGTGGGGACGGTGAGATCAGCTGACCTCACATTAAATTTTAAATTTTGCCCAAGATTTTTTCAATATCTTACCAAAAAAAAAAAATGCTTGTAGTTTTCAATTTTTGCCTTCACAATTAAAATTTTGTGAAAAATGTCCCCGCAACTCTTTTATTCTAACTCCATCCCAGCACAGCAAGAGTCTATCCCATGGGTGTGAAATGTGCCACCATCTGCGATGCAACCTCCACCATTATAAATAATGTGTACTTATGCATTTTCAGATGATTCAATGTATAAAAGCAATTTCCTTTATACTTTTTGCTATATTCTTTGATAGTAGCCACACAAAAGCCGTTACTTAGAACTCAAACTTTTGGGAACAGACATAAATCTTTGCAGTGTTATGAGCATTCTTCATTTAAATTTCTTCTTATTGATTTTTATACTCGCCCATTTATATTTTATATATTTGCATACTGTTCATGTATGATTATGTTTGTTTGTAATAAACGTATCAATTATGCTAGGCAGACAGGGTTATCGACAGACTGGATACAGGGATTTAAAAAATGGTCACTGTAAATTATTTAATTCATTAAAAAGTGAATAAAGCCACCAAATGCAAAATGGAGGGAAATTGATTAATTCATAAAACAAAGCGCTCTCTCTCTCTCTCTCTCTCTCTCTCCACCCACTTCACCAAACTACAGAAACGAAAGGGTGAAAATTTCCTCCGGCCGGCTCAATTGAAATTTCAACGAAAGGGAGAAAATTTCCTCTCATTTTCCCCAATTTTTTTTAACTTTCATCTCCATCCATTTCCAATCCAAGAAGGGAGAAAGCAACCTCCGATTGGCACATGCTTGAAGTTCTCCGGCCGCAAGCGAGCTCAAACGCACTCGGTGCTCATCTTTACGAAGTCCACAAATCTCCATCGACATCATCTTAGTCCCGCCTAGTAAGTGTATAAATGCATATACCGGTGATTTTTTCTTTATTTTCCATTGAATTGAAGATTTTACTGGAGCTCTGTTATTTTTATCTTTGATATATTAGATGTTGAAGACCACATTTAAATGGCTAGCGGTCAAATTTCTTTGCACACGAGTTTGGATTTTTGCTTCATTATTGTGAACGAGCGATCGATTCGAACTTCGAACAATATTTTGGTTGCCTCTGTTCTTGCTCTTGTGGGCTCACCAAAACCAAGCTAGAGAAAGAGAGAGAGCAACCAATTAGACTACTGCTCCGTGGGCTGCGTTTGATTTATTTCATTTTTCATTTGTAACTTTCTTGATTTAAAAAAAAAATTTAATTTTCTTGATACTGTTACCAAATTCTGATAATCCTCTTTCTTTTATGATGTAAGCTTCTTCTTCTCCTTCATTTTTTATTTATTTTTTGCGATGTTAATGTAATTATCTTTCTATATACTTGTAGTTATGTATCTATGCATCCAAACATGTTTGTTTATGGATGTTGATTAATTTAAATTCTGCTACTAGACTTATAAGTCCAATAGACCTTAAACAGAAAAGCCCAATCAATTTTCCGGAATCATTTTAATCAGCTCAAGATCCAGAACAGATTTCTCAATCAGATATTAGAAGAATCAAAGAAATGTTTGATAAGATTGAAGAAATACAGCAACAAGTTAAACAAAGTACTACAAAGAAAAAGAAAATACAAATTAAAAAGAAAAAAGGCAAAAAGAAAATTGAACAAGAAAAAGATTTGGATAATTTTGAAGACAATAATTCAGAAGAAGATGATAATCCAGAAGCTTGTACTGATGGAGGAGACTCTTTAGACAGCATTGGCAGACATAATTATGAAACAAGATAATGATTCATTCAGATTTTAGCCTAAAGAAGACATTTGGCAAAAAGTTAAGGTGATTTTCAGACAAGATTCAGCCACTTGAAGACTTTTGTCCAGATATCAAGAAAAGATCAAGAATTACTGTACAAAAAGAAGAATCTTTACTGTTTTCTTTTTGAAAAATTTGTAAAGAATCTTACTGTTTGATAAAGTAAGATTTGATAGCATAGCTTTTTACTGTTTCTTTTTTGACGTTTTGAAAAAAGCAAAGATTCCTTGCTTTTGAAAAACGCTTCCTCTCTCTTTTCATAGCTTTTTACTGTTTCTTTTTTGACGTTTTGAAAAAAGCAAAGATTCCTTGCTTTTGAAAAACGCTTTCTCTCTCTTTTCTCTCCTATAAAAGGAGATCATTCTTTCATTTGTAAACACACAAGAAAATATATACAATACAAGTTTTGAATTCTCTCAAATATGTTCTAATTTTCTTTCTCTCCCGAAAGGGAAATTCTTAATTGTTCTTATTCTTAGATAGAATAATATCCCACAAAAATATGTTGTTTTATAAACTACTGATGGATCATTCCGGTAGGTATGTTTTATAGTTCTAAGATATGGTACTAATAATTAATATTAGTTCCAGATCTTATAAGAACAATTTCTGTTTATAAAATCTTTATTTTGTAAAAGTTTTATGATTTTTGTAAAAAAAAATTTATGTTTCATGCTGAGTATATGATAAGAGCATGTCTTAACTCCAAGTTAAAAGTTTAAACTGTTTTTAAAATAAGCCCTTAGTAACCTCTCAAAGCGTAAATGCCCAGTGAAGAGACTATGAGACGCATAGAAGAGGGAAAGGGATCACTGTTTTAAGAATTCTTGTTAAGGGAGTGCCAGTGGTGTCCTTACAAGAATGGAGTTAGGCCCAAGTTCATATATCTCAGATGGCATGATTTTAATTAAAAAAAAAAGGATATTATTTTATCAAAAGAAAAAGACATTTAAATTAAGAAGAGTACTGAGTAGGATTTTTATAATTTATCCTAACAACTTCCTATAACAGCCTTAAAATCCTTGAAATAACTTCTTTTTCAGGGACCCCCCCTTCTTTGGTATCAGAGCTTTTGTTTCGGTGCTGGTGATTTCAGTATATTTCTTCAGATTTTGTAAAAGGTATAACTCTTTTAATCTTTAGAAATTATTTACTTGTTTTATGATTTTTAGAATTTTACTTGTAGACTTAGAAAAATATTCTATAGTTTTACATTTTATAAAGAAATAGAAGAGATTTTTGAATATGGTATAGAATTAATTTCTCTTGAAAAATATAAACCTATAGATTATTTATTTACTATCCTACAAGTAACTAAAGATTTACACCCAGAATTAAAAGAACAGATTTTATATAGATCTTTAATTTCAGAATTTAGAGAAGAATATTTTATAAATAGTTTTGATCAGATATTTATATCAGATCTAAAATTAAGGATTGAATTAGACAATATTGATAATAATTATTTATCAGATCATACAAATTTTTCATTAGATTCTTTTTATTATTCAG